GGGAAATGAATGAATCATGGTAACCTAGGCCTGCTTTTGCACCATTGTCTACAAGCTAGTCTAATTCAAGATGAGACCACCAGATACAAAAAGGGGGCTTCCATGGTACATACACTGTGCTTATGTAAGTTAAAGCTCTCAGGTAGGCCTCAGTAAACATCCAGTGTTGATGACCGTGGCACATCTAAGCAGAAGTTTATCCAGCTCTACAAAGAATTTGCTAGCAAATCATGCAACCTGGAGTATTTTTTAGAAAAGCATTCATCTGCCCCAAGGTAGAAAGAAAGGAAACTGACAGATAAGTGAGAGGCCCCAAAGAGAGACTGCTAAGCCAGTTATTAGGCTCTGGTCCTTCTGGAGTGGAAAGTGACAGCAGTCTAAAACAGGTGACAAGAAACAGCTCATTCCCAGCAGCAACTTGTTTGCCTAAAGTAGCATTCCTCCGGCTTCCCAAGTGGAGCATTGTGAAGGTAACAGGAAAATGCTCACACGCACTTTGGATTAGCAACAGCAGTAAGTTATGGCTTTGCAGATTAGTTAACTGCTGCCCAAATAAGTTTGATGCATAAGCATTTGCTTTTATGGCAAGAAGTAAGTTAGAAATTAAACAATTAGAACTAAGAAGGAAGCATGCTCGTGGTAATCTTGAGAATAGCATATTCACTTCGAGGCAGATTGTTACTGTGTCATTTGACCCACAACAAATATCTAAAACTTTTCTTAAATATTTATAAAATAAATCTTTTTTTTTTTTGGTACTGGAGATAGAACTTGGGTCCTTGTGCTTGCGGAGCAGGCGGCGAAACCACTGAGCTAAATCCCCGGCCCTATAAAATAAATCTTAGGAGGAAAAAAAAATACTGCAACTTTTTTCCCCCCAGTGAAATTCTATGAATGTCTCACAGAACTTTGTTGTTCCTGGGAGCAGTTAGGGAAACACTGCCTCAAACATCTGTTTTAAATAGTTGAGAGGCATCAAAGTGGGATTTTGCTGTGCTATAAATAAAACACTAAAGTATGGGTGGTATTTAACTTCCCAGTCACTGCCCTGCTTGGAGAGTCTCACCTGTTTGAGCAATTCCAAAGGTCCTGTTTGGATGCCCACATTCTTAAGAAGCTATGTGTTTCCTCAGACCATGTGTCTCTCTCACCCCTAGACCAGTGTAGGTTAGTACAGGCGAGAGGTCCTTATCTTTGGTGAGACAGAAGACACAGTCTTCCTCTCTCTCCTTTGGGTGGTCGTAGATCCTGTGATGTGTCGTCCCTCTTCCTCCTTATGGACAAGAGCATCTCAGAGGGTCTGTGAGCAGTTACTTGGCAGGACCTTTAGCTCAGGGAAGAATGTCTTTTAGGGAAAGAAATAGGATGATGGCCAGAGCTGGGGCTGGAGCAATAGGATCTCATTCTACCTCATATACTTAACTGGAAAAGACTGACATCCCTTCCTTTCTGGGCCTTAGCCCTGCAGTCTGTCAAATGAAGGGCTCCACTGGAATATCTATTTTCCTTGTAGAGCTAAATTGTGTTTGAGGACCTCTGCTGCCTTTCCCAAGGAACACTGGGAGTGTAAACTAGACAAGAAGGAGGTGGGGCCAGCAAGAGGCTGGTCCTGTGATCCAGTGCCACCTTTCCCCTCCCAGCCCCAGTTACAACAGGATAAGAGGTCCTCTCTTGCTCCTTCCTCTTCACATACCTCATGTGCAGCATATTCACACCCACACCCACACACCATTCAGTCTTGTTTGGGACGCCAGCCCAGTATGTACGTCTACTGGGGCAGAATGAGAAAGTATCATGGCATGGGCTTAGACAGCAGGCATTTTCCTCACAGGGCTGGAGCTGGGAGACAGATCAAGGTGCTGGGATGGCGAGGGCCCTCTGCCTAGCTTGCTCAGTGACATTCCTGTGTGTGCATGTGACCCTTCTTATAATGCCACCAATCCTATCAAGTTGAGGCCACACTGAACCCTTTTGACCTCTGTTAATTTTATCTCCTAAAAGCCCCATCTCCAAATACAGCAACATTGTGGGTAGGAGCTTCAACATACACATTTGGAGGAGGATGCAGTTAAGTTCACAGACCAGTAATAACCACAGACCAGTAATATCCCCTGTTTATTTTTTGAGACAAGGTCTTTCCTTTAGCTTAGGCTGGCCTCAAATTTGCAGTGATCTTCCTGCCTCAGCTTCCCAAGTGCTAGGATCAGAGGTGTGCACCACCACACCTGGCTCTGCTTTTTTGTTATTGTTTGTTTAAACATAACCTGTGGATCTGAAGCGGGGTGGGTGTAGTGGTTCAGAGTTCTGGTTTTGGGGAAGATAACTTGTTTGGGTCTTACTCAGCCACTTACTGTCTATCTGGCTTTGGGTAAAGTACTTATCCTCTGTCTGGGAGCCAGCACTCGTATCTGAAATCGGGGTACCCTCAGATGAAGGCTCGCGTGCAAAGCCCTGGCCTCGGGTCTGTGCTCCCTGCTGAGCGCTCAGCCAGTGGTTGTGATCACCACTGCTCTGCCCCAGATGCCCTGCAGCCCTCAAGCTTCCCCTGTCTGGAGGCCGGGGGTAGCCTCCTCCACTTGTGGTATCACATTCTGTTTCTGACCGATGAGATCTCCAGGCAGAGCAGGTCCACCTCATGCCACACACCCTCTCTAACCCTGAACATTTTGCAAAACTTTTTATTTTGAAATAATTTCAAAATCCTAGCACAGTGTCAAGGAGAGGGCAAAGAACATATTGCCACATTTTATTTTACCACTTAGTCTTTCCTTCCTTTTCTCCCGTACTAGTTTGTAGTTCATGCTTCAGCTTTACCAGCTGTTTGAGTAATGATATTCAGACCAGTTTTTTTTTTCCAGTCTACAATCCAGCATCATGTGCTGTCCTGCCTTTAGTTATCCTCTCTATAGTCTCCTTTAATGTGGAACAGTTCCTCAGCCTTTCTTTGTTGTTCATGACATTGATGTTTTTGAAGAGTACAGTCCAGTTGGTGGTTGTAGATTGTCCTTCAAGTTGGTCCCTTGACATTTGCTTAAAGTAAAACAAAGCAAGCCACTTTCCCATTTCTTTTAAGTGTGTAGTATTTGCTGAACACCCAGCTGTGTATTGGATGCTGAGAAGGAGGAACATTACATAGCAAAGCCTGGCCACAACCTGGAGACCTTAAGTTTGGGTTTTGGGGAAAAGTGTTACTATCAGGCAGGCTTGCAGGGCCCCTCTGCATGCTCACACACAAGCTTGGAATAGTACATCTTGGATGCAGGGTGAGTCCATATTCGAGAGATCTACAGAGATGCAGAAAAAGGCCTTGCTCCCAGTCACTGACCCTGCCTGGCCTCCTGAGATGCCTGGGTGTTCACACTCCACACACGAACTTGCTTCTCACAGATGTCCATGTGAGCTGCGGTCCTCTGTCCCAGCCCTGTCTTCCCAAGGATTTACTGTCTGACTTTGGGCTGCTCTCTTCCTTCTGGGCCAGTGCTGGGGGGAGGAGTCCCTATATGGCTCTTATCAAGCGCCCTTGAAACGAAGGTGCATCGGGGGAGAAGGAGTCACTGAGCACTGGAGTGGGGGGAAGATGGGTTGAAGGCTGCAGGCCCTGACGTAGACTGTGATGGAGGTTAAAACCTTAGGATGATCTGCATCGTGATGTGGCAGGAAAATCATCAGACCTAGAACTTACTTTCTCTGTTGGGTGCTGTCCAGGGGGAAATGGTGAATTGTAATCTTTACTCAGCCATGTAAAATCTCTACTCAACATGTAATACCATGTAAAATCTAGTCATGGGTATTTTGTGAGACCAAAGCAGACAATGCAAAAGTGTATGCAGTGTCATCAAATCTTCACAGAACTTTGGCCAAGTGAGCTTTCAGTGTGAGAAAAAAAATAAAGTTGATTTTTGTGTAGTCATAAAGTCAACCCCATTGTCTACTCTTTGTTAATTTTCTGACACTTTAGAGTGTTACCTGGGCTGCAGAAGGAGAGGTGCGACACCCTGCCCTTCTGAATTTAAATTAAAAATTTAAGATTAAATGCAATTTAAAGTTCAGTTTGTTGGTTGCACTGGTGACATTTTAAGGGCTCAGCAGCCACCCGTGGCTAATGGCTGCTGAGTGGATACCGCAGTCACAGCGGAGTTCTGCAGGGCCATGGTCCCTGTGCTTGGCCACTTGGGAGCAGTGGTGCTGAGAACTCAGGACTTCACACTTGCCAGGCAGGTGCTGTGCTGCTGAGCTACATCCCCAGCCTGATTCTTCCTTCTTCACGCACAGTCACAAGGTCAAATGAGAGCTGAGGAAGTTGGCTCTTCATGCTGCCTGGCAGCTGTCAGTGGTTCAGTCCCTGGAAGACTGGGATTGCCTGCAAGTGGGTGTGCTGAAGGCATTAAAGGGGTCTGCCTCTTCTGCTAGGCTGGCACTTCAGAGCCCTGTGAGACCCATCTCAGCATCAGGATGCTGGAGCCAGATTTTGAAGAAAATCCAACCACAGATAGATTGAGGCAGTGATTCTAGCCAGCACATTGGGTCTTTCCACTCACCTGATCCTCCGCAGCCCGGGCCTTGGGTACAGGGGCTGGTAGAGAAGCCCAGTTTCTGGCTGTGGGGCCTCTTTCTGTGGGCAAGGAACCCCATCTCATTGCTGAGGCACCTGCCACCCAAAACCCTGGGCTGGGACCAGGCTGCGCTGTCTAGTAGTGAGTTCTGAGGCAGGACAGGGACCCAGCACTCATTCACATGGGTGTAGTCCTTGGGGTTGGTTATTGTTCCTGTACCCCCAGCATCTACCGCCAACAACACCCAGCACCACGGCCCTGGCCAAACCTCGGCTCACCATTCCACAAAAGTGAGTGACAGAGCGGGACTGACAGCTGCCTAAGCTCCCAGGACCCAGCTCCCAGCTGCTGAGAAAGCCACATGTCTGGCTGTGCACAGGCAGGAGTGGCTGTGTCTCTGAAAGCGCCTGTCTGCCTGTGGGTCCTCGTCTGCGTGTGTACCTCTGTCTCCGCCTCCTGGCCACCTCAGCTGAAGAGAGGAAGCTGAAAACTTGGCCAGGCCCATGGGTAGCTCCCTGCCCAGCTCACACACTCCTGCCTCTGCTCCACCTAAGATGATGTGGCTCTTCCCTGCTCTGCTCTGCATGTCCAGTAAGTAAGCCTCACTCCCTGCCTTCAAGGGCTGCTGTACTCGCAGATCCAGCTGGATATCTGTAGCCCTGTCTGTCTGTCTGTCAAGGCTCAGGAGCTTCCCCAGGAAGTGTTCTCACTGGTGGAGCAGATCTTCAGATTGCTGGGAAGGATCAGGTCTCTGAGGTTCTGTGATGCCTTCAGACTCGAGGGCCAAGCCACCCAGGCTCTCCTCCAGCCAGCCTCCTCTCTAGGCAGGCCCTGCGGTCTGTGCAGAGTCAGTTATGGCCGTGGAGGCCCATGCTGCCCTCCTCCACCCAGCCAAGCACCTTCTGTCACGGACCCCGTGAGAATGTGAGCATTGGCTAGAGACTGTGGGGGCAAGGATGTTAGAACTAGCTTCCTGTTCCTGTGGCCTGTGGGGGCAGGGGGCTGCACTGCTCCTGCTGCTTGGGGTCCCATTCTGGTCTTAACCTCCTTCCCATGAAGGCATTTTAGGCACATTGATCCGGAGCCTGCCTGCAAGGCCCCAGGGACAAGACAGCATGCTCGGGTGAGCTTCTGGAGACCGCTTGGACTACGCCTGAGGCTGGGCGGTCCTGCCTAGTGATCTGGGCAGCTTCCTGGGGGTCCACCTGGTCAGAAGCAGGAGAACTGGCAGACGTCAGACATAGTAGGGTAAAGGCTCCTGGGAACCTGCGTTCTCCCCACAGGACAAGCTAGGCCGGTGAGCACCAGTGTGTGAGGAAGCTGAGACCATGCTAGGAAGGGCTGCAGACTGTGGGCCAGGTCACTCACAAGCAGGCCAAAACCTGCCTAGGACACCAGCCAAGCCTACGTTTGGGGACAGATTTTGATACACGGTATTTCAAAAGCATCAAAACAGTTACTAGAGAAAGATCAAAACTTGGTCAAACTACCTGTAGATTTATTTTACAACTTAGATTTGTCTTTATTTTTGTTACATACTGGGTGTGGAGCAGCTCTCACCTTTTTATGCCTTATGGTTTTGAAGCCCCATCTCCAAGAATATCTGGAGGAGATGCTAAGACTAGATTCTGGTCCACGCCTCCCCATACAGAGGAGGTGACTGAGGTCCGAAGAGGGACAGTGACTGTCCAGAGTAGCGAGCAAGGGCCCAGGCCCCTGTCCTACCTCCCAACTCTGGAGTAGTCGTCCTGTGACACTGATCCTGGCAGCGGTACTCTGTGCTCCTGCTCATCTCCGTCTCCTGCAGCCTCTCCAACGACCACCCATTGCCTTCCGCCTTTTTCAGCAGATGACATTTATGAAATCCTTTCTGAGGCCCAGCACTTACTGAATTGATGAACGGCAGAGAGCGGGATGGAGCTCACGTGCCCTGTGTCCACTTAGGTGCTTGGCTTCATCATGGTGTGGGGTAGGAGGGGCAGGAGTGGGTCTCAGCTCTGGATGGGAGAAATGATGCCATGCTGGTTCTGCTCGCCACTGTGAGGGCCCGAGACTCCGGGGTGGGCCAGTCCTGGAGAGCTTCCTGGAGGAGGTGAGGCTGGCGCTGAGGCTTGAGAGCTAGCAGAAGTCTAAGGAGGCAAGGAGATGCCAGGGAGGGTGGTGAGGCCAGGCCCAGGGCCCCACACCCTGTGCCTGGCTGGGTCCTCCTGGGATGAGGCGAATCCAGAACTATCACTGGCCTCGCTCCTCTGACCTTCAGCTTCCACCCACCTCCCACCCCACGGTGATGGTATCCCCTTTTCATCACCCATGAAATTTCTCACAGATGAGAAAGCAGTCTAGAAGAATTTGAAAGAGAAGAGTCAGGTGCAGATACACAAACCGGGAGCTGCCCACCACTGGCCCCCAGGCCCAAGCCTGCTGCCATGCAGCTGCCATGTGGGCCCCACGGTCCCCAGGTCAGACTTCAGCTCTGACTCATCCTGCAGCCACAGCAGCTCACTTCTCCTGGGCCTCCAAGCTCGAGTGTGTCTCCCTTACGGGAAGGGAGCTGTGCTGCTGACCCGTGAAACCTCACTGTGCAAAGAAGAAGGAAGCAGAGTTCAGGGCCTGCTGTGCCCGTGGCACCGACTCAGGAGGAGGCCCCAGTCCCACCTCTGCTAGGGTCACAACCCTACACCTGTGTGCAAGGGTGTTAGAGAAAACTCTGGCTTTAGGCAGGCATGGTGATCATGCCTGTAATCCCAGTGCTTTGGGAGGCTGAGGCAGGAAGATTCCAAGCTTGAGTCCATCCTTTGGTGGGATCCTGTCTGAAAAACAAAACAAAACAAAAGGGCAGGGGATGGAGCTCAGTGTGAAGTCTTGAGTTCAACCCCCAGTACCCCCCACCAAAAAAAAAAAAAGAAAAGGAGGGCAGGTGGAAGGAAGAAAGGAAAGGAAAGAGAGAAAGAGAGAGAGAGCACACTGTCTTCAGATGCTGGGGACTGTGGTGTCTTGAGACCAGTGAGAAAGAAGGGCTTTCTGGGCCGGAAAACGGGAGAGCAAAGACCTGGGTGTGTAGGAAGCTGAAGGGTAAGGTTTCCTCTGGCATCGCCTGCTCCTTCCCAGAGGACATGCTGGGCCTGGTGGGGAGGGCGCCCCCCAGCCCAGGGGCTATGAGGAAGGAGGCTGCACACCGTGGAGGGGCCTTGGAGGATGCCTCCAGGACCTGCAGCAGGGCTGGAAGGGCCTTCCAGGCAGAGGGGACCAGCAGTGGTGAAACGTCAGAGAGGGGCAGTGTCCATGGCGAAGCCACGTAGGTGGCATGTGGGCCCTGTGAAGCCCTACACCCCTGAGCTTCTCTGAGAAATCAGCTTGGACAGGGTGTGTGTGTGGTGTGCATGGGGTGTATGTGTGAATACAGGGCGTATGGAGTGCATATGTGTATGACAAGCATGGAGCATATGGGCGTAGGTAGGGTGTGTGGAGTGTATATGGTATGTATGGGAGCTGTGGGGTATGGGGTATGTATTGGGTGTGTGTGGTATATAGGGTATGGTGTATATGGGTGTATATAGGGCATGTGTGGTGTGTATAGTATTTGTACATGGGGTATATGGGGTGTGTACCATGTATCAGGTATTGGTGGTATGTATAGATGTCAATGAGCTATGTGTGATGTGCATGGCTGTAATGGGATGGGTGGGGGACCCATGGGCAGCCAGGCCTGAGAGGCCCACAGTAGTAGGTGTGAGGAGTTTGAAAGGCCCAGAGTGGCAGGCTGAGGAGGTTGGACTTCACCACGAGGGCAATGAGATGCCTTAGAAGGTCTTGACAGGGTAGTGGCAGTCAGACTTGTAAGCTGTGTGGACGATGGAGCCCCAGAGAGAGGATGCAGGGAGACCACTGAGGAGGCTACAGCAGAGACCAGGTCCAAAGGTGTTGGGCAGGACGAGTCGGGGGAGGAGGCGGCACTCACGGGAAATACTCAGGAGGAAAATTGGGAAACCCACATGTGCTTAGCGAAGTAATGATCAAGACTGGTGGCCATTTCTGTTATTAAGGAGACTGTGGAGGATGAAGGAAGGGGCAGCCTCTGTGACTGAGAAGTCTGGGGCTACAGTGATGAGATTGTGCGTGCAAGACCGTGCGCAGGACTGAGGAGTGAGCAGAGCATGTGGTGTGTGAGCTGCGCCCTGGGCAGCCTCTCTGCAGATGGTTTCGAGGCATGATCCACCCCCAAGGCCTTTCTGGGTGTTCTGGGCCTGGGGTCAGGACACCCGGGTCTAGACTCACTTCTACAGCCTGCTCCTTTCATAAATTTGGCAAAGTGTGGCCCCAGGCCTGTTTGTTGGAGTAGGGATGACTGTTGTAGCACAAAAATGTTCATTTAAAAGGCCCAATGAAGTAGGAGAGACTGTGGGGCTGAGGAGGCGGCAGTGGTGGTGGGGCTGACAGGATGGAGGGGCTGACTGACTCAGCTGGGGACAGCCTGAGGGAGCAGCCATGTGGGTGGTGTGGTGACAGACACTGGTGACAGTATGGCTCTCGGGACAGTATGTTAGGGGGCTTGTGGTGAAGGAGGACGAAGTTGAGAGAGAGAATGTGACAGACCCTCACTTGTGGTTATAACACTCTGACACCTGACACGCTGAGCCTCTGTGCTACAGACCCTGAGAAGGCACAGCCCCATGTTGCAGATGCAGAAACGGAAGCAAGGTGACAGCCCAAGATCCTTCAGAGACTGTGTGGCAGACAAGACTGTCTGCCTTTGCTATTTTCTGGGTCTTCATGGGCAGTGCAAAGGAAGGAGTTATGTGACCAAGAGGACCCAAGCAAAGGCAAAATATCAGGGTCCCAGCAAGAGCAAGGTGGGCCATGGCCAGCAGATCCCAGGAACCAGCTGGCTCTTGGGGAAATTCAGCAAAACATGGTGATTCCCACTGCCACCCCCCATCCCCACACACCACACACCGGCTCTCGAGCCGCTCCACCTCCACAGGTCCTTCTCATGACCTAATTTCTAGTCTAAAGCAGGGCCCTCTCCCAGCCCAGTGAGATGCTAGCACAACAGGGAGCCATCCCAGCAACTTGGGCCATCTGTCTCTGTCTCTGTCTCTGTCTCTCTCTCTGTTTACCAACCTCTCAGTGCTTCTAGTTTTACCAGTCTTTGGAGTCAGTCATCCTGGGCCCCCAGACACAAATACTCAATTTATGGGTAGGCCATGAGTGAAATCGTTCAACTTCTCTGAGCCTCAGCATACAGCATGAGGCCTCGAAGCCAGGTGCTCTGGCAGGGGGGCTGTGGTTATCTTTCTGTGAATTTTCTCCCCTGTCCTACCCAAATCAGGCACCTCACACCAAGACCCCTCCATAAATAAAGCAAAAATTGGAGGTGGGAGTAGGGTGATGAACGAGGACATCTGGCCTATTCTGACATTTCTAGGGCACCTCTTCTGGGCCTGAGTCTGTGTGGAGCTGGGGTTTGCGGTTGGGGGTGTCCTGGATGACTCAGATCAGATCACAGTTTGGGGAAGACAGACAATCACAGGCAGTTTAGTCACAGCCAGACAGAGACACCATAGGATGCTGAGTGGGCTCGGGGCCAGCGA